GTATTTACAACACTCGTAATGAATTTCTTAATATTTCGTATGAACATAGACCGTGAACAATTTCACTTACATTCGAATGATTTATATGATACTTTAGACCAGGATACTTAGTTGTACTTCACTTTTCCTTAAGTCAAAAGTAGTCCAAACTTTATACAAATTATATACTACAATATTAATTAATTATCATATTAATAAGAATTATTAGTAACACGATGATGCTTCTGAATCAGTATCGAACAGTTCCGTTCGAAAATATAGATTATTCGCATCTAGCTTGTTTTTAACCTTTTTAACATTCACCACTTTTGGTTTTTGAATTGCGGTTTGAGCATTGTTTTTATCATTGTTACAATTTATCTTTACCCTTCGGGGAGATCTACCGTTTTTATTTCTAAGAATCATTTCATGTACATTTCTAATCATCTTTGCATGCCTAAAGTTCCATCTTTTAAACCTTTTTTCTACACGACATCTTGATAGTGATGAAGTGCTTTCAGACGTTACTGACGGTTTACCTGTACTACAAGTATCATCAGCATCATTTAGACTTGTATCTATATTATTTTTGAATGTTTTATTTGTTTTCCGTGGTATAAGTTTTACAAAGTCATTGCTATCGTCAAACAAGAAAATGAAACTGTTCTTTGTTTTAGGAGCGAATTCGCTACCACGTTTAGAGCTACTTTTGGGCAATATTTCTATTTCATCATCTAGCATGAAATTTACGTTATTTTCACGAATTTTATTAATTTCTGTTCCAATTTTATCATATAAGGAGACATTGCTAGAGCCATGCGGATTATTTGTATCTTTTGCAGATTTAGAATTTTCACATTTATGGATCAATAAAGTGCTATGATCACTATCTGAATCCTCAAATAAGTTAATGGTCTTGCTATTGCGGACCGAATTAGTTGAGGCATTTTGTGAGCGCAGGGGTCTTTTAGTATTACTTGTTCTATCATTTTGTATCTGGATAGTTTGAGACTGTAAATTATTGTTCTTTAATGTACTCGGTATAATATTATTTTTCTTTATTGTATTCGAATTAATATTATCTTTCATCGATGTATTCGAATTGGTAATATTTTCAATATCGCGCTTTGATAGTCGTGTTAAACGAACTGTTGCATTTAAGTTACAAGGAATTCTCACCATTTTCTCTACTTTTCTACTTCCGCCAGAAACAAATTGTGATGACTGTTTTAAATAAATCGCTGAATGTGAATTCTCAACGTTCTTGACTTCTTTATCCGACTTTTTATATTTTTCTATATCGGACTCTAGTAATCGTTTTACACGAACTACTGGTTTTAATAAATTATCAAAATTAATCGTTAAATTTTTCGGCTTTTTGTATTTTCTTATGTCGGATTCGGATAATCGTTTTAAACAAACTATCGGTTTTATGTTCTGTGGTATTGGAAGTTTGTTTAGTTCATTAGGTTTTGATAAGGATAATTTCATTTGATTTTTTAATCTAGACCTAGTAACTCTTAATTTAGACTTTCTGAATTCTCTTACAGTATTGTTAGGTTTCTTAAATTCACTCGCATTTGAACTAACAATTTCGCTTCCAGTATTAACTATTGCAGACATATTCATATTCTGATTATTGCATTCTATAACAGTACTGTTACCGTCAGTGGAACTAAGACTTGTTTCTCGAGTTTTTAATTTACGTACACTTTGCGAATTAGCCATGGAAGATTTTTTAGTATTACTCCATTTTTTACTCATAGTATTTGGAAGGGAGAATGTGCTACTATTCATCACACTTTTATGATACATACTAATCTGCTGTGTTCTTCTTTTTTGGAAGAATTTAGACCTTCTTCTTGCTGTAATCTGTGAATCTAACGCAGGATGCAAAAATTGTTTTCTCCTGGGTATAATACTTGTGTTTCTACGAATTGTAGAAACAATATCAACAGGTGAATCTCTGGCACTATATAACTTTTTACGTTGACTTAATCTTTGTGAATCATTTTGACATTCAGAATTTTCTTCTGTTAAGTAGAATCGCGAAGATTGATTTAATTCTCTATTGATTAAGCTTTCTTTTATATAAGAATTCCGATTTTCTTTTTTAGTAATTAAATGCATCAATTTCTCAGTAAATAGCTTATTGTAGTTAATTTTAGGTGTTCTGTTTACTTCTGGTTCATCATTTCTCTTAAATGTTATATCTTTCTCAATTTCAGCAGAGGGCATCATGGAAGCATTCTCAATACTATTTTCACCATTCTGTTGTAACACATTGTCATTATTATCTCTACCATCTGTATTTCTGACAAGTTTTATTGTATCTACGCTTCCTATATCTTCATTCTCAAGGTCTACCAATGAGCCTTGTTTTGCTCCCTCCACAATAGCCATTGTAGTAAATTTATTAGTTGTATTATTATTTGATAATATATATGCAACTGTATCAACAGAACTGCTGGAAGTATTTGTCAACACTTTTGCTGCATCACATTGTTCTGATTCCTTATTTATATCCATTATATTGTTATATGGCAAAGTACCATTGTCTACCCAATGTTGTATAAATTTTAATGACTTTTTATGAGGTCCGCTGTCTTGAATGTCAAGTAAGTCTAAATCATTTCCTATTACCGACTAAAATGACAAGCAATTAATATTATTATTATTAATATCTTTTAAATAAATATAGTTGTACCTAAGGGAACCCGCTGATCAAGCAGTAGAAAGGTACGTGCTTTCTTATAAATTTCTGAAAGAAATTATATTTTTTCAGAATTTTTTATACTACAATAATATGTAAGAAAGAAAGACTTACTTCTTAATCAGAAAGTCCCCTTACTTGTTTAAATTATGAAATTTGTCGTACCTCCTCTGCATACTTTTGAAAGAAGTCGTGCCAAAATTCTTTCCTTTTCTGTAAAACGTCTGCAGGTAATAGAAATGTTGTATCATTCTTGGAACCAACAATCCTAAAAAATATACAACATTTACAGAATCAATTAATATGATCAGAAACAGTCAGAAATAATTATAATATCCTATGGTAGTAGTAGATTTACTTTTCAATGCCATCATAATAAGATTCATCCAGATTTGGTAAGTTTAACTTTTTATCCATTATGTACAATCATTCTTTGTGCAAGTACTGTAAACTACAAAAGTTTTAAACAAATTGTAAACTTCCATGCATATGTGTGTAGCATCAAACTTATGTTTATAGATGTATGTAGTATGCCATTCACACTGATTTGAAGTTACATTTTTTGTTGTTCGACTGCATCAAATATAATCAAAGACGCAGACGATAACTGCAAGAATGTATACAGGGCAAGTTGCAAGTTTTTTGCGCAACCACATGAAAGTATTGATTTCTTTATATTTATGTGTATTACATTTATATTAATATGATATTATTATCAACCGAAATCTTTTATTAGGTTAGAAAGCACTAATTCAAACAAGCGTATATTTTTCAAAATTAACTATACACTATGCGCATGCGCGAAACATTATGATCATACTATACCATAGATCAAGATAATTATGATGAAGGTAAAACTCTGTCGAAATCTTTGATGTTAGTGATCCTGAAATTCCTGACATCGACTAAGATCGATGATTGGTAACATCACCTAAGAATTATGTCTATGATTGATGATCAAATTGGTTTAGTTTTTGTGAAGAGGAAATTTTCTCCTTTAATTCTAGTTCCGTATAACTAATTAGAGCCGCCAATAATTAACACCAAAAGTATCCTCACTTTTAAATCATGCTACGTACATATTTTGCTTATATTTTAAAAGCTCTGAAAATTGTGATTCGGAACGGGAAATATGTCGAAAACAAATGTGTTTTAACATTTGCATATTTAATCTTTAGTTATAGGGAGATAGAATGATGAAAGATTCTCAGCACGTCTAAATTATAAATGCATACAGTGTTTACCATGAAAAACCAAGTGCAACGGTTACTTGAATTTTATATTGCTACATTTCACTAAGGATATTAATTCCACGATTATTAATTTATATTATGAACCCAAGAAAACCGATGTTTTTGACGGTTTCTATGAATATTTAGGGATTTTACCCTCGTGATAGTGGCGCCACGGTGTTCCGGAACCGAGTCAGCGTTCCCGCGCAAACTAGGCGACGACCTAACTGTCGCCGCCAAAATATCTGACGTCCATACGCATAACCGTCGTTGGCCAGGGTAGAAGTTCATTCGCTGTTAGGCATTGTGAGGAAGCAGTTCTTCCAATTATTCATTTGTGAGTCCACTTTAAGCGAAATATCTTGAAAAGATGTCAGGACGTGGCAAAGGTGGTAAGTAAAACACTTCCATTATGAATTGCGGGTCTGGGCGCTGGAAAATGGGAGGATCGTTTGTGTTCTTCTAGGAAAGACTAAGGGAAAGGCGAAGACCCGCAGCAGCAGGGCAGGGCTACAGTTCCCGGTCGGAAGAATCCATCGTCTTCTGAGAAAAGGAAACTACGCAGAACGTGTGGGAGCTGGCGCGCCGGTTTATTTAGCTGCGGTTATGGAATATTTGGCTGCTGAAGTACTTGAGTTAGCCGGGAACGCCGCAAGGGACAACAAGAAGACAAGGTTGGTTGAGCAAGCCTTTCCATTCTCTCTCTCTTCCTCTCTCTCTTTTTCTCTCCCACCCCCCTTCTCTTCCTCTAACATTTCTCTTCCTGTATTTGCACATTATTTCGTTATTTTGCGTTTATACAAATACCGGGTGTCTCAGTATTCACAATACAATCAATAAGATGGCAGTTCTTCGGAAAAAATAAGTCGAACACATAGGACGCGATTGACGCTTCGTTTTCCAGCGAAAGTTTCAAAAAGACGCATGATTTATTATACCGAATGGCGTATATTCGATTTTCTCGAGTCCCTGTACGAAAAAATTATATTTAATTTTTCTGGCACAGTTTTTTTTTCATAGTATCGCCCTCTTTTCGATTGCGCCATAAACAATTAGATATCTTACGTGAAGATTTGGTTCCAATTTTTTTATGTTGCCACAGTTTCGATAAAAGAAGAACATTTGTGTATTGAGACTAAAAGGCTTCCATAAATTGTTTTTATCCGTTTATGTATATCATTGTCTAAAGATCAGAAAAGTCCTGCTGCTGATTCAAGGTTACTCTGCTATCCTTTACCTAGTTCGTAAGATTTCAGATATTAAAAGATTACATATGTTCCTTTGGTTTTTAGGATAATTCCACGTCATTTGCAGTTAGCCATTCGTAATGACGAAGAGTTAAACAAGCTGCTTTCTGGTGTAACCATTGCTCAAGGTGGTGTGCTGCCTAACATACAAGCAGTTCTCTTGCCCAAGAAGACCAGTACTGGTGGCTCTGGAAAAGGAGACAAAGCATCCCAGGAATATTAGAATAACAACCTTTCTAACTTAACAGTACTTTAGGGCTATATTCTTCACTGTTCAATCTTTGAAAAAGAAAATCAATACCTAGAACATATGAGAATTCACAATCATTATTCCAATCACACACACACACACACATTACACACACATCGTAGAATTACCTGAGTTAACAACGTGATCTATAGGTCTATCATCGAATGTCTCTCGTTTGATTAGAATATATATAATTCTACATTGCATTTCGCTTAAGATTAATGTTTCATGTACCTACATATAAGTTGCATAATTTAAGTATTCACTTCCATTACACTCTATCCATCTATTATCTCCTTTTGACTGATTCTATGTATGTGAAAATTATACAATAGTTTGCAAATTTTAACAAACGGTAATTATAACGGGTTACATATTTCTGTTGACTGTAAACAACATTTAGAGTGAAAATAAACTGATTGCTCTTCACTTTAAGTAATACATGACCTTTCTCTTAGATGTATGGATGTTTGTACGAATAAATGGAATCTTAAAATATTCTAGACTAAATCTCGATAATACGTATGCACGTGTGCGCGTGAATTCAAACGTTTATGTAATAATTTAAAGAGCTACCTTTTTCGAATTACAACATAGACAACTTCCGGTACGTGCACCGGTATGCGTAGTTACAGTAGTTGTAAAACGTGTAAATTGGTGTAGGTAGCGCGTCGGTTCAACGTGACGTTTGGTTTTTGATCGCAGGGTCACTGAACACAGTTATTAATGATAAATATATATTAATTTTAAAAAAGGAAACCACGAACAATGTCGTCGAGCGATATAAATATGCTTCTGGATATGGGTTTTACTTTACCTAAAGCGTAAGGTTTACTTAATCGTTGTTGTGTACGTCTAACCTGTTACTGTTTGTCATGCATTTCATTTCAGGGAGAAGGCTTTAGAAATCACTGGAAACAAAGGTGTTGTTCCAGCTATGGAATGGTAAGAAATAGTGTAGGGCTTTATTCGCATCGTTTGGCAATGATTTCAATCATTATTTTAGGCTGTTGGCCCATTCAGACGATGCCGAACCGACGCCGGAACAGTCACTCGGCGATAGCGTTCCAACGTCAGTCGCTGAAACACCAACACAAGATAGCACAGCTACTGCTAGCAGTCAAGTATCTACTACCGAAGTTGCAAAGTCCATGAAATGCGATGTGTATGTGTATTACTTCAATCCTCTCGAGATACTACTATCAATTAGCTTGTATCGCATAGTTTAACAATCCATGCGTAGACTTCATTAATGTCGACTACTTCTAGATGTGGAAAACTGTTTAAAACTAATGTGGAAATTGAGTTCCATGCTACAAAGTCTGGCCACGATAGATTCTCAGAAAGCACAGAAGAGAAGAAACCTCTCACAGATGAGGAGAGGAAAGAGCAGCTGAGAATATTAACAGAGAAGTTGAAACAGAAAAATAAGGAACGAGAAGAACAGGAGAGAATAGATACATTTGCGAGAGAGAGGGACAGGATACGTGCTGGCAAAGAAATGGCAGAGGCTAAGAGAAAGTAAGTTTGACGGTTGCCCTTTGCAAACAATGATCGTTAAAAATGTTTCTGTATTGTAAATGTAGGTGGGACGAATTAGAAACAAAAAAGATGTTGGAGCAGAGAAAGCAGGAGAAAGAGGAGGATAGGCTAGCTAGACAAAAGATAAGGGCAGAAATTGAGGCAGACAAAGCTGCTAGACGAGCGAGAGCTAGTGCTCAAGAGGTGCCTCAGCCGGCTCCGCCTGTACCTTCATCCTCTACACCGGCCCCAAGAAAGGACTACAGCGAAACGAAGCTGCAGGTAAATGAGTCGTATATTATAGCTTGTACAGATTCTTTGTAGATTAGATATCCGATTGAAACGCTAAGGTTCAACGATTTAGATCAGACTCACCAATGGACAAACGTTGACACAAACATTTGGGAGCAAAGAACAGCTATCTGCTGTGAGATTGTTCATTGAAATGAACAGAACAGATGATCTTGGACCGTTTAGCCTAATGACAAATTTCCCAAAGAAAATATTTGGAGAAGACGATTATGACACTCCACTAGACGTTCTAGGTGTGTAATTATTCGTAACAACCCGGGATCTAAGCGACTGTTATGATCCGAAAAATCGGGGAACGTATAACAAAGCGAATTCCGTTCGTTCGATTATCATGACTAATTGATTCCAGGCTTAGTACCATCATCAGTAATAATTGTTAAGAAGAAAATGCAGCAGACCTCGTAAATACCTGAGCTACTTGTCATACAACCAATAACACGGCTTCTAAGTAAATAATATCAACGTACAGTGTTCAGAACGTTGTGCGTCCAACAAAAAATCAGCGTTTTTATTCTTAAATATTCTCCGTTTGTAATTTATACGCAGTGGAAGTGTTGCTGTGGCATTTATTATTGAGAATGGCATGGTTTACGAGCGTCGAAGGAATAAAAGAGACTACGCATTTATAATATTGGGGAGTTTATTTTAAATTTAAAGTAGTTGTTAATTATCGTCGAGAGACGTGTCCAACATTAAGGACAGATTCGACGTCTTAAGGTATTTTATTACACGCTAATGGCATTGTAATCTGACGATACATCGGCAGGATATATCACATCTTCGGAATCACCACAGTTAGTAGGATATTCGGTGACCTGATCGCAATCGATCAATTCCAACGACTTGTCGAAGCATATCCTTATTTCGAACAAGTACGAGTCTCCAGTTTCCTAAAATCATTTCCAAATTAACAACAACTCCAATCGATAGCTAGAGCTCGAGATTCAACGAATTCTTACTCTTACCCTATCTTTCCTGCAAACTATCACAGGATGTGCTCCCAAAACCTGTAGAACCGCGTTGAATAGATCGGAGGCTGCGTAGTTCGATCCGGGTAGAATGTTCGAAGATGCCAGAACGTTCTTCATGTCGTACTGCGACAGCAAAGCGAGACCTTCGCCGAAATATTTCTCCTCGGTGTTCAATTCCGGAAGTTGAGCCGCGCAAGTGCCATGTTTGTTCCATTCGTGCTGCCAAAGCCCGTATGATTCCCGTCCGTATTCTATGTCTATCCACTTCTCCTTCAACTGATCCTCCAAAGGTATCAAAGCGCTGGGATCGAACGGCCTCGAAGGATCGCAGAACATTGGGCCCATCCTATGAAACTGGGTAGGCCAAAGGCCGTGGATCGTCCATTCGGATTTATCACTCGGCAACGCGCAGCTGTGCGAGGGCGACTCCTCTTTCCACATCGTGCAAATCGTATTAGGCCATCGTTGAGTGAAAATCAACAGATCGAAGTCCTTCGATCGCGCTGACGCTCTGCGATTTTATCATTTTACATGTCGGCTATTGCTTTATTTGCACGTTTCTGAGTAGTAAAACCTCGGTCATGCGAATTCGGCAAGGAAACACGAGTGCTCATATATTAAAACTTATATGTATGCTAGTTACTTGGTTACATACTTATTAGTTCGTACAATAAATAATGGATTATCAACATCGATCTATAATCGAGGTTTTACTGTATTTATTTCGGTTGTAATGTAGAGGCGCGATTAGGGAAGATTCGTGTAGCGTCGGCCACGTGTTAGCTTCGAGCAGAGAAATAATATTTGTCTTCCGAGTTCTTATCTAGGATCCGTATAAAATTAGAACTAGATATAAACTATTTACTGTACGACTCTTCTCTCGGATATTTTGCATTATTCTGAGCGAACAAAAACAGATTTATGGTACTAATTCGGCGGATTATCGAGATCGTTATCTTCCCCTAGTTTGTGCATCCCTATTCTAAATTTAAACTCCAGCGTGTATTATTATTATTCTATATATCTACATATTCCGTTAAACATAGATCCACTGATCTCGTGCATCCATTGTTAAAGAGTTCGTTTACTCACCCGTAGAACGCACCGAGGAAAAATAAAAGTATGTTTAAGTGTCGACTAAACATGGCTGGAAAACAGGTTCTCGTGGACAAAGCTCGTCCAAGCTGTGACCGTCTACTAGCGAGTGTTTAGTCGCTTCGCTCGAGTACTATGTGCCCAGCCCCCATCGCCTTTATAAGAACCGTCCCACCATTTCCTCTGGCTCTTGTTATATGCACCAGATGGTCGACTACCTGTGTCCCTTCAACTGTGACAATGTCATCGGTGATAACGTTACAAATTATGATTACAGATAAAAACAAAAAAGCCACTAAAGTTTAACAAAAAGAACTTGTTCCTTATCTATAAGACGTTCGTTCCGCGCACGCTTTTTCCAGCGCAGGACAAACTTAGATAACGATATTAATCTTACGATTATCTCTATCGATTCCCTTTTTTCATCGAGACACATTTCGTGTCGCAGTATCTCCACGAATGTACATATGTATAATTCATAGAGCAATCGAGCGAAAAGTTGGCTGCTATTTTATAGCCGGAAATACCCACCCCGTCGCGCATTTCGAAACGATTATCTAATTAAGATTATTGATTCCGCAATAAATCGGGAACCGCAGATCATTTGCTTCGATCTTCGTCGATCTGTCGACACGAGCTCTGCATGCGTGCGATTATTTCGGGATACCACCGACAACGCGTAAAACTTATCTGCTCGTAAATTAGCAGTTGAGCAAGCTCAAATGTCGATACAAATCGTATTATGCAACAAGCAATTATTTAAACGATTGCCTTTTGTTCTCCGTTAAAATGCAGCGTGGCGAACGAACGTTACTGACTCACACGCGCGCGGCACGATTCCAGAGAAGTTTTATCGCGGATTTGACATAAACGCTTCCGTCATCAGATTAGTCGCATTCTTCTTTGTGTAACACAATGATTCTTCCTGTATGCAACATCGTGCTGCCTCGCATGCAATTCCATTCGAGTTCCATCGTTCAACACAGTGAGCCGCCACCGTTGCCGTTTGCAATTTTAAAACGAACAAACTCAATGCGAGGCTCGAATAATCGTGTCTCCTCTTCCCAGAGTTGTCCGTTTTAGTTTCGAAGCCGAGGGACAATTCGGGAGTATTTACTATAATCGGATTTCAACAGTTCCACCTTCCAACGTCCCACTGCTTGTAAAAGAAAAATGAATAATTATCGATTCGGAGGCGCCACCCTTGAAACAGGGGATCGTAGGAAAGTCTCCAGTTTTATTTAAACTGGTTTTTCTGTACAGAGTTTGTCGACGAGGTTACAAAACCAGCCGTTCAAGTATCGATATTCAGATGAGTTTTCACTAGTCTGCCGATGAGATTCAACGCTTCGAATGTCCTGTTCGGTCGGAGCCTCTGTCTCAATAAATAGTACGTCAGGACCTTCAGGGTAACGAGAATGAACACCAACGCGACAATGTCCACCCACATCACAGCGTGCTCCATCTCTGAAATAAGAGATCATTCGTAGTTTCTGTTCTGTGTCACGGGACGATCGAACGCGGGGTTCGACGAATTTTAGAAAACAGAGAGACTGGATGGAAAACGTGCGAAAAGCACCGAAGAAAACGGTAGGATCGCATAATTATCGCGCGATCTGCGAACCAACGGTTGAAAACGTTCGTGATATCGGTTTCGATGCTTCAAACATTACGGAGAACCGAAATAATTTTCGGTTTTTCAGGATTGATATCATATCGATATCACTTCTAACTAGACAGCGGATCTTTATGCAAAATAAAAATGATCTGAATCGATTCAAAGACGCAGGAGCCAAGTGCAATCTTGTTTCCCTTGTAAACAATTTCAATAACTTATAATTAACGTATCAACATTTTTTTTCAATTTCTCTCAATTTGTTCGCCACTCTTTCACATAGAATCCGCAGTCTAGTGTTATCATAAGTACATCGAATCTGCCTAAACAAAATTTGCATAGAATCCGCAGTCTAGTTATCCCAAGTGCATCAAATCTGTCTAAAACATTCTTAGTGACCGTTTCAGCCAGAGCCGATAACAAACAATAAAACTGTTATTTTCGGAGCGTTTTCGATCCCTGCGTCGAACCGTTCGATCCGCCGCTCTGCGTAACAATGGCGGCCGCGTCGCGAGATCTAGGCTTACGCATGGTCACCAGGATCTGCCTCGGCATTTTGAACTCGCAGAATATCTCCGTGGTCGGACAATACAGCTTCTCTCTGTTGTATCCGTATAGAGCGGTGATTAGACCTTCCAAGCCGTATCGTATGTAGCTGAGATACATAATCATCTTGCGATAGATAGGCAGCCCTTCGGATTCGCCGATGCCCTGCACCGCCACCAGCATCAGCGGAACAGAGATCGCAGGCCCGACGAACGTGCCGTTCTAGGAACGAGGACTTATCATGCGACGGATTGCGATAACAGGACGATACGGAGAGAGAAGATACCGAGAAACGCGTCACGTACCACGATGTTCAGCGTGGTAGCAATGGCCATCGCCATGCTTTCGGCGATGAACATGCATATGAAGCAGATGCCGAAGAACAGGGCGCACCTGAACAGCTCCAGTGGCTGTCCCGTGATCAGGTACACCATCGACAGGTATATCGTCGACACCAGCAGCTGCGAACACGGAAGAACGCGAACTAAGCGGCTGCCGGATTAATTGAAGCACGGGGTTCGCTGTAATCTGACCTGCGCTGGCATGTTGACCAAGGTGAAAGCGCAATAGTACGGGCTGAGGTTGTACCACATGTTGAAGTACTCCCGCTTGACCAGTTGCACTTCCGAGGGAACTGTAATTTCAACGCCGCGATCAGGAAACGGAGAAGGCACGCGCGAGGGAGCGATGCCCTGGGAGAAACGCGCCGGACAATCGCGGTCTAAGAAACATTTCTCGCGAAGGAAATCCGATGAACAACACGTGCCTCGGGTTACGGCGACGCCGGATCCAAGGTGTATCGAATTTAATAAGGAACCGCGTCATTAAGTTGCCGATTTGTGAGATTATCGAGACGGCGCCGCGACACGCGATGCCCGAGACCGGTCGGATTTCACGGCTCCTTTTACCCCGGGCAAACATTATGCTCTTACAGTTTAGCAATACCGGTAACATAGGCACGTAGAGGAACACTATCAGGCAGGCGAAGCAAAAGCCGAAGTTGAACAGGGTCTTCGAGCCGTCGTCGCCCACGTTCAGGAACAGGCCGCCGATTATGAAGCCGAGGAAGATGTGCAGACTTATCTTCAGGTATATGTAGTTCTGCAACAGGCCGATCGACATTTTTCTCTGACGCGTTCTTCGGTTTCAGTAAATTTCTCCCGGAAATGCCAAATATCGGGTTCCTGCGAATTTCAACGTGCTGGTCCTACGTCTATGTAATTTGTTGTTACGTCGATGCACACGAAACGGCCTGCTCGCGCGTGAAGACGAGTGAGAAAAACTGCGGAACTGCAAGGTACGCGACTAATCTCCGTCGAATCGTGTAGCATGTGGCCTCTGAATTGCCTTCAAATCGTGGCAAAAAAAGGTTAAGTCATCGTTTTTATTTTAGTATTACTGTGTATTTATATCAATGTATACCGGCATGCTGGCTGCTGCCTCTTTTTTGCCGACTGCCCCGAGTTCTTATGAAAACAAGTCGCGAGGCTCGAAGGATCTTGTCTTAGCGCGACTTAGTCTGCTCAGATCTGCGTGTTTTAATTCCGACTTCAAACATTTCTGGGAGAAATTACCGTATAAGGCGACTTGTACAGAGAATGAACACTCGAGCCGCTCGTTTTTTAAAATGATAAAAATGTTCATACATTCTTGTGCACGGTTCTAGCGCTTTTCGATAGTCGTATCTTTTTTCAAGCTGTAATGCAGAGATTATTATTTTCTTATTATTTCCGAAAATATTCTCAGAATTTTAGAAAATTCTCGCCCGCAAAAAACTGAAGAATCTAAATTTGCCACAGGAAATATTAGTCTAACCTTTTTATGTTCCAAAAATCCACATTCAAAAAGTCACATTCGCTATGATCAATGTATTGGAATAAAAATGAATTTCAAAAGCTAGTTAAAAATGAGCGTCACCTAGAACGTATAATAATTACCTAGAACGTATTGGACGTCATTGAGACAATTCGCTAACGTAACAAATGAAATGATCAACGTTACTTCTTCGTCAAATTTTGCAAATGTCCACACGCTGGGGATTGTTCGTCAGGTCGCCGTAGCTCCGTTCGAACCAAAACTAACATCATACCCTGTTTCTGTTCAGCTGCATTATCATCCTCCTCGACAGAGCGACGAACTGATCGCTCCAGGACACTTTGGCCATCGTCTTCGGGTGCGGGTCATTTTGTCCAGGGTATCGGGAGATAGGAACAATGGGCATTTCCGAGTCCACCAGATTCGTCATCCGACCGATCCATTCCGATCCGTATTCGCCCGAGGACAGTTCGATCACTGGAACAACCTATCGGTAGACTGCGGATCTTTGTGCAATGTAAATATTCTCATTCCCAAGAGGAATGCATTCTGCATGAAATCTGCAGCCTAGGATCAACAGTGTAATCTAAATGACTTACTAAAATCGGCAGGATTGTAATGCTTCGGGCACTCGATGCCAGCTCGTCGGAGGAACGGCACGAGGTTGCCGACGGTGCTCCTGTAGACGCATTGGCCCTCTGTCACCACGTAGACGTGGTCGAACTTGCTGAAGACGGATGCACTCGGCGTGTGCAGCGAACAAATCACAGTTCTCCCTAGTTGCGCTAGGCACCTTAGAAGTTCGATGCACTGTGTAGCCGATATCTCGTCCAACCCTCTGAAAGTGTTCACTGCATCAGCGACAGAAGGGACCCCATTTAACCCTGTACTCGACCACTTGTTCGCTATCATATCTAGGTGTAGCGACGCATGCTCTTCGAGTACTCGTGCTGTTACGTTTTTTATCAGAAGTAGATTGCGGATGTTGTGCACGCGAGGAAAATGATTGGACGAAAAACAAAACTGTGAAGCGCTCGTGACTAAACCGCGGATTTTTTTAAGCTAAATAAAAACTAAGTTAATTTTAAGGAACATACGTTAGATAAAAATGTCGTTTCTCGTTTATACATCTATTTCGAGAAGTTGCATTTAATACAAAAATAGACATTTTCATCTGACTTATACTATATTGACTATATTGAAATTAATTTAGACAATTTTTATTTTGCGTAAAAGTCCGCCGCCTAATCGCGAACGTTCTGAATTTATAGCTAACTTCAGCGGTGGTTGAAATATACAATTGTAAGATTCATTGGAACAGCTATTACCCGATTTGTCTCAATTAATCACCCTTCTACATTTACTATATATGCATTGCAGTATACGCTGCCACTTGCGAGCACGGTCATTTAGATAAATAAAAGTCGGCGTTTGGTGTCTCGTAAACTACTCACGTAGTAGGCTCGTCAAGGAATATCACCGCAGGATTGTTAACAAGCTCCAAAGCGATCGACAGCCTCTTTCTTTCGCCGCCCGACAGTCTCTCGCTGACAGTGGACCACGCACTCTTCAGTCGTAGAATCTCGAGGATCTCCGAGATCTATAATCATCAAAATTCTTTAAGCATCGAATCGAGGAAGATCAGTTTCCTCGAATTTAGTAAAACGCTGGATGCACGAAACGAGCTTCCTTCTCCATAGGATTGCCAGTCCCGTGACGCATGTCGGGAATAAAAATGAGACCGCGCGATGCAATTCGTGCATTCACGTGATTCCGAGAATCCGTCGACGAGTTCAACACACGGCATTGAAGCTCGCGTTCTCTACTTTATTTTATTCTCCTTCATATCATTCTGTTATTAGCGTGCTTACGATTGCGAACTTCGCCTCCTTCGAAACTCTGCCAAGCTTCAGATCCACCGCGAACTGCATCGCCTCGAACACTGTTAGCCTCGGTTGGATCATGTCCTTCTGCATGATGTAGCAGGACAGCGTCTTCAAACGATCCACTGTCTCAACTTGCCCGTTCACGCTCACGCATCCCGTCACGCCTACTGTCACACTGAAAATATTCCATCCTTCATCAATCCAAATCTGTAGAATCGGATTTTCATTGCCAATTTCAAGCTGCTGCAGAAGTATCAAATGAATTTAACCCTTTCAATGTTTAATCCTAAACATCTGATGTAGCTTCATCTTTATAAATGAAGGCCTGATCTCCTTTATTTATTTAGTAGGTTCAACACTAAACCTACCGTGCCGGTTGAGAAAATCGGTCTCACTGTTTTTATTTTCATAGGATTCTTTCTTATGAAGCGATTTAAATTTCTTTAAGAAAGCTCACGTTCTAGTAAAAAAAGGAGGGTAGCCTAAATAAACTCAGTCTTGTTATTCGTATAAATCAACACACGTTAGCCACTTTTAGAGCTCGGTAGGTTTACTGTTAACTGTTTACCACGTTATCTGCCATGATCTTTATATAATTCATAATATAGTGAAAGTAATATAATAGTAATAAAAGTAACATAATCTAAACGGCATATATATATTATATTTTTATAACATTATAATGATATCATATTATTATGTCATATGATTATAACATAAAGTAACAAAAGTAGCTATGTCTTCTACTACACTTTTTCGTTTTAATTAGCACTGAAAGGGTTAATCAATCTTCGAACTGTCGCTAGCAACGTTTCTTCCTCTGCGAAAACTCGCGCAAGCAATATCTTTTCCATTTTCAATTATACTCGACGACAAAATGGCCACTCGACGGTCGACTTAATTATCCAAGCCGAACACAGTAAATTCTCCCTAATTTTCCTTCGGCTTGGAAATAAAACTGCACAATTTGGGAAGAGGAGGCAGGATTATTCGAGCCTTATCGTTTTTATAATCGTCGACAATCGACAACTATAAAAACGAGCCGCGAGCCTTGAATAATCGCATCTCCTCTTCCCAAATTGTCCATTTTCGTTCACGAGCTGCAGGAAAATTCGGGAGAATTTACCGTAGATCGGCAACAGTTCTCGTTTCTCGTGTCGACGAGAGATCGATCCAGCCTAGGAGTTACAATTCGCTCAGCTACATAGTTCTGGCGTAGGTGATGCTTCCGCTCGCTCGGCGTGGGTCGCGAGGTCAACGATCTTTGACAGCACGGACTCATGCTTTGGGGGGAAAAATGTGACGCGACTTTGACCAGATCCGTTTCGTTCCGTGTCGAATCGAGTCACGCGGTAGGAAACTGTTCGGCATGGTCAATTTACTCACTTGTATCCTGCTAGGATATTCAAGAGCGTGGATTTGCCAGCGCCGGAAGGGCCCAGGATCGCTGTCAGTTCTCCCGATCTGAATTGTCCGCAGATACCTCTTAAGATCACTTTGGAACCTGCGGAACAGACACAAAAATGCGCGTTATTGCGGTTTCTTTTTAGACCGTTTGATCGGCGATCGACGCTTTTTTTTCGGTCGAAGTTAAGTAACGCGATTGATAACGACGCGGATGTTTATGATTGTCGAGCGGAGGAGAGTTTCCGCGGAAAATAACCGCGAGAAACGCGGATCTATCGGCGGATCTTGCGAACGCGTTGCGAAACAGAGGATTCGCGAGAAATCGGTCGCAACTTTTTCCTTTTATCGCGCCTCTCTGAGGTTTGGAGCCTTTGGAGTCGCACAGCGGTTTGGGAACTCGCATTTCGCGGCTTCAACTATTTCAGCGTTGTTTTCAAGCAGCTAGGAACATTAAGGAGTCAAATATCTGTATAAATATTTAAAAATGTCGAGACGAGCAGCATGGTTTTTATATCCAAATTTGTAGGGAAGCGAATAGTTGAAGTGCGACGCTCGCAACTCGTTCTTTTGAAACTCTTCTCAACGTTCGAATTGTAACAAATTTGACGCCACTTGTACAAGGGTTAAAAATATGATTAAAACTAGGCTCGATGCATCAAGTGCATCAGCTAATTTGTACAACACCGTTTAATTTTAGCGTTAATTTTATGATTTTGTATTTAGTATTCTGCATTTTGTACTCTTGGTCGTCTAAAACGGACAATATTCTGGACTTGAGCTCTTCAAAACGTTCTCAGTTTAAAAGAAAAACAAACTTCTCCAATATACAGTAAACTCTCCCCAATTTTCCTCCAGCTTGTAAACGAAGATAGATAATTTGAGAAGAGGAGATACGATTATTCGAGCCTTGCGCCTCGTTTTCATAATTGTCGACAATCGGCGACTATAAAAATAAGCCACGAGGCTCAAACAATCCCCTTCTAATCCCCTTCCCAAATTGTGCATCTTTAGCAAGAAGGAAAGCAGAAGGAAAATTCGGAAGAATTTACTGTGTTAAAAAATTGAATTTTCGCACGAAAGAAGCGATCGAATTTGTCCTCTGCTAAGACAAATGGCGACCCCAAAGTCGATCACATTTCCAACAAAATAAACTAGGCAGGGTGCGTTGCTCTTTCGCCGGCGAGCGTAAACACGCAGGCTCCCGAATCGAGCCGTCGCTAACTTTTCGCATGTTAATCGCGTCTCGTTTGCATAGTTAAATATTGAACACGGCTTCCTTGCTTGTTGCAGTCGGACACGTCGGATGTCCCTTTTTCTCGCTTCCCGTCGACGTCGATGCCGCCGCGGCGGCAACGCGTCTATCATAGTTGGCGGAACGAAGGGGTTCGGCTGTTTAACGCGATACAACACAGTGACAGCGGTGGTGCAGCGGTGCATAAGTACATACAAAGTATTGATTCATTTTCAACGTCTGAAACAATACGCGCCGGCCGATCGAGTCCTTGTCAACGGCCGCGCGCACGTTTGATTAATCGGGCCGCTGCGGGCTCCGCGCGTAAATCCGAATCTCCGCCGTTAGTGCCGATGAATTTACTGTTTCAATTACGAGGGAAGACGCAGAAGCCGCGCGCGCGATGACGACGCAGCGGCGCGGTGAAATCACTCGGTTCAGATAATGGATTCGCGTGGAACGATACGCATACTCGCCGTGTTTCACTTCGCTATCGCGAAGTAAAATTCACCGGCGTGTCGGAAAATTTGTCTTCCCTCTCGCGTTCCCGAGACCCGGAGGCCGTTTAATAGCGCTTATGACGGGGCAAGAAGTCGGAAACGACGTCCCGTCCATGAATCTTTCGGCGATCCGCGAGGAGAAAGGCTCTCCGCGGAGCCATCGTGGTAGCATAGAAAGCGAAACATCGAGGTTCGCAATGGTCCCGGGCCGATTAAGGTCGTAATAGGACTGCGTTACTTTTGCGAGACTTCGGCCTTTCGCGGAAGCCCGCGAGCTGCTCGAAAGGGTACCGCAATTTTGCGCCGTAAACGCCGCTCGCCCGTAATAAACGAAAGAAAATATACGGTCGTTACCGAGGCTCGTTGAATTTTCGCTTTTTTGGAACATAAAATTGGCGCGCATGGAACGCGCCGCGGCTCGTTTCGATTTCTATGGAGACCGACGTGAAGTATTTTCCTTAAAAAGTTGGCCGAAATGATCTTCTTGAGAACGAAAGCATTTAGGAACGAATAATAAATAAATAATAATAATAATAAGGAATTATAATAAGTCACAACATAAATTCACAAAAAAATCGATGGATATTTATAGATGTAACACGTTTTTGCTTTTCACGCTGTTTCACTCGAATACTTGTAACACCACGAACGTTTGTTTTTTGCTTCACTTATCGTGTGTTGAAAAACTGTTGCCTTTTTTCAACGCTCGAATCCGAGGCTGCGATAAACCGGCAGCGTTAGATAAACACTTCTACGCGAAGCATTTCGCGGAGTAAATAGTCTCACGGAAGGAAGGAAGGAAGGAAGGAAGGAAGTCTTTTTGTCGCGGTTCTTCTGGTAGCCGTCGTCGGCTGCTTGGAATGATCCAAGATCGTTCCAACTTCGGATCGTAGCGATTGCGAGCGTGTCAGGAATCCTACGCGCTGCAAATTAATGAGAGCGACACGAAGGATACATGCTTTTACTCTGACGCAATTCTCGATTCTGCCTTTTACTTTTGCATAGTTCTCGTGTTACGATGCGATCGTCGCGCTGCGCCTCGATCCTAGACCGATTTCCCGTCGATCGTAGATCCTCCTACGCCGCAAAGGAACGCATCTTTCGGTTCCTGCCTCTCGTCTCTCGTCGATAGCTCGCGTCGGTTCGTTGAAACGGAACAAGATAACCATTCATGAAAAACGATTCCTGGTCGCTCAAGATACTGTAGCCACTTTTTTTGCAGCGTCTCATTTGGCTTGCAGATTCTAGCGTTGTATACGGTTCAGACTGAATAAGCGGGTGCATCATGCACACTGAGAAGACAATAGAACGTCAAGGCGGGATTACGCGGCGGCTTACGTGTTCCTCCGGCGTTCTCAAGATCAATTGCCGTGTTTTCTGACTCAACCTGCTTATTTAAGACCGCGCCGGTTAATTAGCCAGCGAAAAAAGACACATGATCGGTGAATCAAAACGTGCATTTTCATTCATTTTCATTCAAATCGGCGTAGAATCGAACACGATGCAGAAAAGAGCGCATTTTACGCTCTATTCTTACAGATCAAGGGACAGCCGATTATTATGAAAAATTCACGACGTTTTTATCGGACTCGTGTCAGATTAATCGATCATCAAATTGATTAACGGCCCGATCACGGTTTAATTAACATTCGCGTTTGCCCTCGTTGTGACAAGTATGCAAACCGATGATGATTATTATATCGACAGACACGAATTTCGCGTTACGAGATCGCTTATTATCGCGACGAGTTCCAGTGAAATTCATCGTCGCTCGTTTATTATCCATCGGCATCGTCGGGCGATCTATCAACGTGAAGTCATTTCGTTCGACAGCCGCGAGAAACAAAGAAGCCGCGGAGAGACTGTTCAACCATCTGAGTTCTATGAAGACAGAGAAATTGTTTCGGCTCGGAAACTGGGTCGGCCAGGTCGTGCGATCCGCGTGACTTTTTATCGTCGCTTTATCGCTTCGTTCTGTCGCTACATTGGAAGAAGAAGAAGAAAAATAACCATCTTATATAGATTCGACAAGCTTAACGCCAGTGCAACGCTGCCGGCTGTTTCCTTATACAAGAATTACGCAAAGCGCGTAATCTAACGAAAGAAACGATTCAACGGCGGCTCCTGTACATTTGCCGACGGTGTTGTTAAAGTCTCTAAGTATATTCATTCAGTTTTCGCTATCGCGCGCAGTTATTAGCACGTTCGCATATTTCATTGCCGCCAACACCACGATCAAAGTATACAGAATTAATCGTTCTGTATAATTAGGGGAATTGCCGGGATGATTTTCCGCAGAATCATCTATTTGTTCGCGTGCTGCAGCAATCGCACGTTGTGTAAACAGTTTTGTTTTTCTTTTTTTTTTTTCGTACGATTCTACATGTTAAATGCATTCTTTAATCCATTCGCTTTGTCACTAATGAATTTCTATCTATTTCTAACATTGACTGCATTGTATTCTAAGCATGCATTGTATTGTATATGAATTGTAATCGCTGTACATCGACAGAAGGAAAATTTCATTTCGATTTCGACACTTTTTTGAAACTGGTGATCTAAATATTTTTGAGATGTTGGCGCGATTGGTTTAGCAGACAATGGCTAGAAAATTGTTTTCGAGAATTGCAATTGCTTGGGACGATGACAAAATTGAAGAAATTTGCTATTAAAATGTGAGAGCTTCTTATTTCTTTGCTCATTCAAAGTAATAGCAAAATTAAAGAAAAAGTATCGTAATTATTGTACACTGAGCTAGTCCCTTTAACGTTACAGAAAAGTTCAAATCGTTTAGCTCAATTTAAAAAAATTTATTGTATTTTAAAAGGTGTTCGAATACCTTTTACCCCGACGAAAAAAAATCTTCTCCTTCTCGGTTCGGAATCTTCGTTTAACTAGCCTGACCCGTTGTTATACACGATGCAAGGGGTTAAATAGAATCGTGCATAGAGCTAATTTCGCTTTCAAATGTACACGACGACGCCGACAGTGAATATGTCATTCAAGATTTGTAATGGAAACACAATATGTAGACAGAACTCACAAATCATCTCTCGAGCAACATAGAAATCATGAAAGAAGTTACATTTCCATGGACGTTTTTTGCTGGATTAAAATGCTCTGCCGCTGTTAAAACATTAACACGCGGAATGCCAAAAAGCAATTCTAAAGAGAATCAAAGTAATTTAGGAATCATAGTGACGAAAGTCATACTTTTCTCATTGTAAGAAACAAGGAGCATTGTTTACTGATCAAATCGATTGTTAAGATAATTTAGAGCTAAGTTAATTTATAGTAGCTTGATAATCGCTTTCGCTCGTCCTTTTAACATTTTGACACATAACATTTTTACATAAAAATGTCTGATCTATACACAGTCTTCTTACAAGATTGGCAAGACCGAATTTACTAGACTTTCCGTCATTTTCACCACGACGAATGCAATTGAAACACGGCATAAATTAAGTCGTTTCAAAAAATATGAAAAATGTGGAAAAAGTAATTTCAACCGGCTCGATGTGTTCAGTGTTGATTAATGAAACCAGGAGGTTAAAATTTATCATGTATGAGGTATTTCAACTCGTTCGTATTCTAGATGTTCTAGCAAGGTTCAGTTTGTTAGAAATATATTCGAATAAAAATACATTTCGAGAGCTGGTGTCGAAATTTTTAGAAACAGCTGTTTTATATTGCAATGTCGCGGTGCGACCTTCTTGTGAGAAGAGATCTCGTTTCGAGCAGAGTAACAATTACCGTCGTACCTTTTCTGCTGAAAGGTATCGTGTAGGTCAAGTCGTTGAACTCAATGTCGACTGGTGCCATTTTTTTCAAGTGCGACAGCGGCACCGACGCATCTCGCGTAGGCGCGCGCTGGCACCGATGCAACTGCAGTTCGTTGTGCATCGCCTCCTCTTTTGATTTCAGCGTCATGGTTCGATCTCTGTTTCCACGAGTTGATTTACGTCGTTGCACCCATCACCCGAGCCGGCTTCTTCTCCTCCCTGTCGATTTACTGCACTGAAACCCCGAAGAGATTACTGAGACACCGACCGGTTGCAGCTTCGAAAACTCGCGCCGCTAGGAAAGTGCATCGGACGCGAGCACGCTTTCGTTTTCGTTCGAGACAGACGGATTTAGTTCACGAATTTCTCCAGGGATCCGAGAGACCGAGGATCGGTTCTTTTCCGAGGGGATGACACCGAGTGACGACCGAAGCACGCGTTGCATGGGAACGAGCGAAAGCTCAGCGCGCGACAGATCGCGGGAGAAGACTGACGCCAAAGCAGCTTTGTCGAGCTCCTTGTTCTCGGTGCGGTGCACGCATACACCCAGACAACGGCCGACCATGTTTCACACCGCTATCACGGATACCCACGCGACATAACAATGATAGCGGTTATCGTCGCGCGAATCGCAACGTGAAACTACCGCGTCACGTGCCGACACGAAATTTTACCCTTTGCATTCGAGTGACGAATCCGCGGCGAAAATTCCCAATGCCGTACTTTAGAACTGTTTCCGCGCGTCCCCGAGTTCTCCCACGCCTAATTCATCCCAGTGTAATAAACGATCTCGGATTTCTTGTTCCATTATTATTAACAATGTCGACTCTAAAAATTCTCATAATATCAAAACCATTTAATTAATGAAATCGAGACTGGAAAATTGATCGTAGCATACTTGCTACTAATATTTAGTTTAATTATTTTATAGACTATAAATTCTAGCGACATTCAGTTTTTTCGATATATTATGATAAAAATGAATTTCAAAAATTAATAAGCATCGCTCATTTCTGACCGACTCTTCGGTCATAGAATTCTCTACTGTTTCAATACTTTTCAATCAGCTCAATCTCTAAGGCAACTCGTTAAGAGAACAATTTATTGTTTTTTGTTTTATTAAATTAAATTAATCAAATTAATGTAGGTGAAATGTGACATTGTAATTAGGTAACTAGCGTGACTACAGTCCTCACGCGACAAGAAGGCACCTTTGTCTTTACATTCCCTCTCTTACTAGCTGCGGCAGTGGGGCCGCTAGAATTTGAGCACAAAGCTGCCTTGTCGTCGCGCGAGAACTATAATTGGCCCGGATAGTCGGGATTCCATGGGAAATGATTGATAACGTTTCTTCGTTCAAGCACGCTGTTGTTTAACAATTTGTGAATTCAGTGTTGTCACGTTTAGAAAGCAAACGATATTATCGTATGCAATTGTAATTAGCGTTTGACTTTGCATTATTCAAATATTACAATCTAATACCACGGATTACCTAACACACTCCTCGAGATTAGACAATCTCACTCGGTAAGCTCTTTTTAACAGACATAGAGGAAGTGGATAACTCAGAAAACTGTTTTAGATTTTGAGTCAGCACGATCTTTCGCGCACCGGTGACAACAGCGTGAACAATTTAAACAGCGCAGGTCACTTAAGTGCAGCTCGATGCGTTTTTTTATACATGTGATTTTATACAAGAATCGTCGTTGACGTAATTTAGATTTGCATAACACGAGTGTTTTACATCTTCTTGTGTGCTCGCGACTTTTTTATGCATCGTAATTGATTATATGCCCCGCGGCTTTCTTTTAAATTAGCATAAATCTTCGTTCATCAAAAGCAAAACCGTCGACCCTATAATTTATTTAGAAGCTAGATTTAATTGAATCTGTTTACGCTAATGGAAAATTGATATTTATCATATTAAAACGTGTTCTCTTTTACGTGTCTCCGTTTAGAAGAAGTTAATGGCACCGGTGTTTTATGAATTCTGTTCATGAATGAAAAAAGTTGGTACAAGTCGTCCTGCCGCGTTCTGTAAAACTTGCGACAAATCCGAGAATATACAAGGTGTATGGACGGTGCGATAAATAATTAAAATTAGATGTTATACAATTTGACTTTCTAATTTTAATTTGATTAGGCAAAGAGCCTAAATATTAATATTATTTAATATTGATATTATTTTTAATATTAATGCTACATTAATATTATGAGATTTTTAATATATTAATACTACATTAATATTATGAGATTTTTTGAGACATTGGCGCGGGAGTCGACGCTTACGACCGGGCATCGTGTAACCCGGTTGCTAATCAAGCGAGAACGAAAGCAGCTCGTTGTCGCCGTGTTAGCATCGGCAATTAGCCGAGTCTCTCGAGGCATTGGTCGAAAGGATCCCAGGCAAAAGCGTACCATTATCGTTCATTTTCTTCCACTTGCGACAACGGTCTTGCGCGATCCGTTCTATTTCGGAGCACTCGCGTGATGCGAACGCCGCGCCGTTGGCCAGAGCCTGGTTTATTCGCGGTCGGTGCACGGCGTGATAATTCTGGGAAATGCGTAAAAAAGGTGCTGTGCTGCGCGGTTATACCTGCAGGAATTTCGTTAAATTGAGACGATGCAGTGTCTCGAGCTCGGCGAGGCTTTCTCTCAGTAGACAAGGGTGAAAAGAAAGGAAACATCGTGTACAGGGTGTCCCATAATTACGTTAACATCCAAAACGTGGTAATTCCTCGGGTCATTTCAAGCAACTTTTTCCTTAACGAAAATGCAATCCGCGGCTTCGTTTACGAGTTATCAACGAAAAACAGTGACCAACGAGAGGCGAGCTCGACTGAGTGGCTCCGCCCAGTTCCGTTGATTGGCTCGACCGTCTCGCGCCAGCTGACCTCGCCTCTCATTGGTTAGTGTTTTTCGTTAATAACTCGTAAACGAAGCCACGGATTGCATTTTCGCTAAGGAAAAAGTTACTTCAAATCACCTCAGGAATCACCCTTTCCCGGGTGTTAACATAATTATAGGACAACCCGTCATCAAAAGAATGTAGACCAGTAGGGCAAACATATTCGATTTGCAGCAATAGTTGTCTTACTTTGATGTTCGTAACATCAATGGACATCTGAGAATCTTCTAATTAGAATGAGTCCAAACAAGGACTACATTTATAGAAGAGCATTCGGTTGTGCAGGATGAGTCACGAAACTCGCATGTCTCGAATAACTTTAAGTTAGTTGGATCTTGAGAAATTGAAAACCCCTGTATATACAAGAATCTCTACACAGCTTCGAGACCGTGTATTTAACAATCTTTCACAAGAAGCATAAATTAAGAGTTATTCGAGATATGCAAGTTACGTGACTCACCTCATAGCTTATCAATTAATCTGATTTACGTCGCGTCCGTATTAATCGGCGGAGTCTCGGCTGTCCAGCGATGCTACGGTCATAAAGCTAAGACAACAATGATCGAAGATGAAATGTCTTCATTACGAATTTGTTGTTCGCTGTTCGCGCGACGTCCCTTTGTCGCGGTTTACGCTCGTCGCGTGTTCTTTCACTTCGTCGAGCGGCACTCGACTCAGTTCTCGGACGGCGAAGGCGTTCGGTACGTTCAAATTTACATGCCGGCTACCGGGTCCATGTAAATTTAACCGTGCACTGGTGAATCGCGCCGCCACGCGCCAGTTACGTTCGCGTCCGGCGAGCAACCGTCGCATACTGACCGCCGCGGTTCGACTCTCCGCCCTTTTTCGCAGCATGCATATGCAACGCTTCTCTCTGACCTCCTCGGTTACGCAGGGATTACTTATTCCCGCGATCAGGATCGCGGAAGTTCAAGCCGACCATTGTCCGCGGCGCGGGCTGTTATTTCGGTCGGCCGCGCCGCGGAGATTTTCCACTGGATAGGCCCGTCCATTGTCTCGAACGATGTAATCGACCGGCTGTTTTCGATAGCGGCCGTAATGTCTAACGAGCTGGGTCGCATTGTTTCTCGATGGACAGCGAAAAGTCACGGTCGCCGTAGAACGCCGGTATAAATAGCTGGGTGCCGCGTAATAACCTCCTGAAAACGGGCCAATGAGAGGCCGAGAACTGTTCCGAACCGTTCGCCTATCAATCCTCCCACTGGGACCTGATAACAGCATCCGGCCAATCTCGCTGAAAACAAAACAAAAAAATGGGATAAAAATGCTCGTGACCTTACTTCATCAGCAAATAATATAATTAAATTTGCTCGATAATTGTCGCGGACGGTTGTGCATTATTGTGATGCAACGGTTTGACCTATCGCCTTAATGATTCATTCATGATCGAAATACCCGAGTCACATTTCCAGTTGTCCAAACAATTTCGAACGAGGTCGTTTCGTCAAAGGAGAATTAATTTTCCTTAAATGATTTCGAATCGTTTGAATCGTGCTTCGCTTAGAATTGGAACAAAGGAAGCGGCGCTTGCAGATAAATCGCGGATTTTTGCGCGAAATAAAGACTGTCCGAGTTAATTTCGTGGAGCATAAATCAGATAAAGATGTATTTGTTCTTTCAATGGTCATTATATCAATTTTCATTATAGTTTCGTATTCGCTCTATTCATTTCTGCCATGAATGCACAAAATCGGCTCAATCTACTTATCAATTGTTCACGTATCAGCGCCGGTCAAGATACACGATTTTAAATGATATCTTTTAAAATTGTTGAAACTGTCAAAATCACGCGAACATAATCGAATCTAAGCACAAGCATACGTTATACCAAAAATGAGAACTGGTCTAAGCGTACTTGATCATGACATTCGTATAAAGCAATATCAGTTTTTCCGTCTTTTTTTTCGTTATCGATAGGTTTCAGGATTAACGCAAACACGCGATAACTATGAACTTTTTACTTCTGTAACAATTTATGGCTAGAATCATTTAGCAATAGCATCGACCGTTAGCTCCAACTTATCCTCGGCGTACGCTCGTTTTTTGGCATCGTACTTTACATAGGATAATCACAATGTAAATGTAACAGGGAGTATCTGGCACACTTGGATAAATTGAAAATAATGGAAAAATATTCTGCTTTTTTCCCTCCTTTTATAACTTCATTACTTAGCGTTTCACCTACATTAGCCGTAATTGACTTTTGCCTACGTCACCTAGGGAAGCCTAGTAATAGTCTTCTTAGCGACGTTGCTGTATCGGAAAACAGCTCGATCATTTCCTTCTATTTATTATAATCTGGAAGAAGATTGCTATATTTTATTATTTATTTTCTCATTAACTTTTTATATATTTTTATTAACCGTTCTCTTGTTACTCGCAAAGAAGATTACTACAGTAAATTCTCCCTAATCGACGCTCGGATTGTGCAAAAAAAAAATTGACGATTTGTGCACAGAACTTGACATTTTTATAGCTGTTGACAATCGGCGACAATAAAAACGAGCCGCGAGGTTATCGAATAATCAAGACTCGAATAATCGTGTCTCCTCTTCCATTGTCCGTGTACAAGTTAAGCGTCAATTACTGAAAATTTACTGTATACCGTATTAGCAAAGATTCGTAATAAATTCGTCAAGTTAATCGCCAGATCAGAAAAAACGGGGTGAAAATGGCTCCAGGAAAATGGCTTCCAGAACAGAATCTCCGATTTGTCCAGGAGTAAACAGCCGTAAACCACGGCATAATCGTTCGACTCCGAGGCAATTGTTTAGCCTGAAAGAAAGGCTACACGGAAAAAACAGTAGTTACGCTACCGGCGTCACTCGGAGTTCGTTGAACCCGCCGGATAATGGAAAAGCACGCGCTCTGTCCCACGGCTGCTCCGGGTCGCGAACATTGGGTTGCCAGCGGTTTGCGTACCTCTCTGAAAACTGCTATACAAGTATACTAAACGCGTGCCATTATTCATGCGCATCCGGCGGAGTTGATTATAGCTCGCGCGAGCAGCAGAGCAGTTTTCATTCGACAAAAAATCTGCTGTTCCGCGGGCATGGATTTAATAAGGGACAGCAAACTGATCGATCTGATCGATCAGTTGGGAGAATGCTCGAACTTCATCGCCATCGTGCGGTCGGTCGTTATCAGAGTCGTTTATGAAAAGTATGTTTTTATTTCGTAATAAATGTATCCTATAAAATACAACGAAGAGCACGCCAGTCGGGCGCAGAACGCTTCTGTAAAAGTTATGGTTCCTCGTGTCGGGATCGACCACGCTAATTCTATACATATATATATATATATACTTTATATACACATATACATAAGTGTATATAATATAATAATACATATTTATTATAACAATATACATTACATTATATATACCATAAACAATATATATTCTAGATGCGCGTATATATAATATAATATATATTATTTTGTTATACATATATGTATACATAATATTAATATATATATATGTATATATATAATGAACAATATATATTAATATTTAAATACAGTCGTATATACATACACATATTATATACATATTATATACACATTATTACATTATATATATATATGTATATATGAACGCGTATATAATTTATATCCCATTCATGTAAATATATAGAAACGTATTTTCTGTTTAAAGTACATCTGTTTGAGTCGGCGTCGTGTATAGTACAATTACGTATAAAAGAAAAGGACAAAGAACAAGAAGAACGTCGGTTGTCCGGGATCGCTAAGCGTTGATCCGACGACACCGTTGTGGGCCTTGGAAAAGCTAGTTCGGTACTATTTTTCGCGTTCACTTTTTCCTTTTTTCTATCCGTTTCCGATCTGGTTGTGTTTCAGTTTCTTACAAAAAAGTAGGCTCGTTTGCAAAATAGAGGTGTGTCGCGATTAGTTTCAGAATATACAATGCTACCGTATATTGTATAAGAGACACGTTAATTGAGAAGAGTTAGGACGAACGTGGGGCACCCCGTTCGCCGCCGACGAACATACGTTTTATCGAAGTGTTGGCAAGATGATCCGTTTGTCGCCCCCGTTAACTCTTCTGCGTCGTCAAACTCACAGCCATAGGTGGTGGTTAGAACAGAAATTGTGATCGCTCGCGAAACGTTTATCAATTAACGCCTCTTATTCCTGCGGGGGAACGGCGGTCCCGTTCCCGATCGGGGTCATCTCGAAACGTGCGCGCCACCTTCCCGCCCCGCAATCCTCGTGTGCTCGGGTGCACCCTCCCCCCGGAGACCATGCTACCTTGTCTAATTAAACGCATTATAAAGGACGAAATGGTACCCTGAACGAACGCTGTCGCGTCGGTTGCTGCATTAGTCGTCGTTTGTCGTTTATAAAACTAAGAAAATCGAATAAATTACGATGGGTTAGATCTCATGGATTAGTCGGCGTGCAACAATTGGTTCGACGGACAACGGACAGCCCGTCTCTCGGCGGAACGGCCGTCGAGACGTTCGGGATGGCACCGAGGACCGTTTCGGTTCTGTCACACGGTTCGTTTAGCAAAATTTTCCATGCGTTCTACATCGGCTCGTAAATGTTTAACAGATCATCGGGGAAGGCCTATCGCGCAGTCTTCAGTTTCCAACGGAGGAATAGATAGGCACTGATTCGGAGAACCAAGAATATCAGTAGCAGGGCAAGAATGTCCAGCGTGAAGTCCGCGTCCAGCATGTCCAGTTCCTCCAGGGTGGTCTCCGGATTTTTAAAGTGGCAGTATACCTGGAGGATCGACGATAAATTACGACGCTTGCAAGCCATCGGATGCCTCATTGAAAGATCAAGTAACCACTTACCTGGAAACATTTCAGCTTCTCCCGACCGAAGGAGTACGTGGCCAGCGCGGTGCCCTCGAACCCGTACCTGATGTAGCTCAGATAGGTGATCCACCTGAGGTACACAGGGATAGCGTCGAAGCTGACGAAGAAGCCGGAGAACAGGAGGAACGGCACAGACATCACCGGCGCCAGGAACACTCCGTTTTGCACGTTCATCGCGGCTCCGACGACCAGACCGACCGATTGTGCGACGAACGCGATCAGCAAACACGTCCCCAGGAACATGCTAAACCGCATCAAGTCCGCCGGCTGACTCGTCATGAAGTACACGATCGTGACGTATATCACGCAAAATATTGCCTGCAACACGCCGTTCAAATCTCGTTAATCTTCCCTTCTCTGGAGACATCGAAATCTCCAGCTTTTTTAGAAAGACTCCTCAAAAAAAAAGATTTGCAGCTCGAGGATTCTCAAGATCTCCAGATTGTCGGAGAGCGTTCTCACCTGGAACGGTATATCAGACACCGTGATGGCCAAGTAGTAGGACTTCAGCGAGTACCATCTGTTGAAGTTCTCCTTCAGAAGCACCGGCAGCTCCAGTGGAACTGTAAGCAGACGAAATCGTTGAAACGTTGTTCCAAGAGAATGAAGAGAGAAGCGATTACTATGAAAAGTCACGTACAAGATAGAATTGTGATGGTCATGGACGTGTACATGAGGAACAGCATGTTGAAGAAGAGGAACCCGAGGTTGCTAAGTACTTTGGCGCCGTCGTTGCCGATGTCGTAGTACAGCGCACCGATCAGAAGTCCTACCAGGATGTGAGCGAACAGTCGAAGATACATGAGAGTCTGAAACAGGGAATTGACTGATTGATTCATGGTCAAGAGAGTATAAAAGATACAGTACTGAATCCTGGCCAATAGAACCGGTGCAGTACCAATTTTTAATCAAGGGTATCTAGAGAAGACAGCATTGATCTGTGAAGAGAATCGACTGATGAAGAGAATTTAGAGTATTTTAGAGGGTAAAGCACCAATCTTTGATCAAGTGTATCTAGACGACAAAACGTTGATCTGTGAAGAGAATCTAGAGTATTTTAGAGGATACAGCACCAATCTTTGATCAAGAGTATCTACAGCACACAGCATTGATCACTGATGAAGAGAATCTAGAGTATTTTAGAGGATACTGCACAAATTTTTGATCAAGACTATCTAGAAGACACAGCATTGATCACTGATAAAGAGAATTTAACTGATATAGTATAGATCACTGATGAAGAGAATCTAGAGTATTTTAGAGGATACTGCACAGAAGACATAGCATTGATCACTGATGAAGAGAATTAACTAATATAGTATTGATCATTGATAAAAATTATTGACTGATGAAGAGAATCTAGAGTATTTTAGAGGACAAAGCACCAATCTTTGATCAAGACTATCTAGAGGACACAGCATTGATCACTGATGAAGAGAATTAACTGATATAGTATTGATCACTGATGAAAAGAATTGACTAATGAAGAGAATCTAGAGTATTTTAAAGGATGCTGCACCAATCTCTGATCAAGATTATCTAGAGGACACATCATTGATCACTGATGAAGAGAATCTAAAGTATTTTAGAGGATATCAATCTTTGATCAAGACAATCTCCGACTATCGATCTCCGATCAATAGCACCTAGAGGATCCAGTATCGAGTCTCTAATTAACAGAATCAGATCTCTGGAACTCACCCAATCCCTGCGACTGAAGAGCAAGGTCCTCTTCAAAACGATCCAGAATTGTTGATGCTCCGACGTAGGGTATCTCTCCGGAGTTCTACCATTGAGAGAGTCGTCCAACAAGGCCGCATCAGCATTGTCCTTCTTGTCGATGTCCATGGATATCACGACGTCCGCTGCAGAGAATCGAGAGTAAATCATCGACCTAACGATTCAACCGTATTCTAACCGATCTTCTCGTATCCGGGTACCTTGCTTCGCGATATCGTTATTCGCGAACGTCGGGATCAGGCTTCTATTGTTCGCCACCTTCGTGTTCTTGTCCTGAAACTTCTCCTCCAAGTTCTTCATGTCGTTCTTGTCCTTCGGCTCCGCGTTCTCCGCGGCTTCGTCCTTCTGGAACGCCTCCGCGGGTTCGTTGTTCAGAGCCTCGGGTTTGTTCTCGGGGAACGGATGGCCCTCCCGAATATCGTACTTTCCATTGTTGATAGCGTTCACCAGGCTCTTGATGTTGTCGCCGTACTCTCCGCAGGACACCTCGATTACTATGGATCGAGTTACCGGGATCAGTATCGTCTTGCTCGCGGATGAAAAGATTTCACGGAGAATCTCGAATAGAATTTCATCCGTTGTTTCGAGCAACGATCAAAAATCCTAGGAACGTGACTCACTGAAAGAGGCCGGGTTGTGGTAGCTAGGGCAGTTCAGGTTTATGTTTCGAAGGAACGGCACCAGCTGCGACGTGGACCCTTGGTAGACGCACTGGCCCTCCGCCAAGGTGTACAAAGCGTCGAACATCTCGAACAGCCTGGCGCTGGGCTGATGGATCGTGCAGATGATCGTCCGGCCACCTCGAGCCAGAGTCTTCAGCAGCGAGATGCATTGGAAACAGGACGAAGAGTCCAGACCGCTGAAATTGAGCATACATAGACGTTATCATAGTCCAGAATTTTCTCGTCGAATGCTTCTCGCTCTAGAAGCATCGCAGATCGCGCTCCGGCGACCAAGATTTAAAAAAGTATACGGCTACCGCAGGCCTTGAGTCGCTTGGCGGTAGATCGCAGCTGTTTCCCGCTATCTTATCGCGACACGCTAACGCAGGTGCAGCAAACAATATCTTGCAGAACCGGTTAAGCGTCCGGAAAAATTTCAGTCGCATTTTCCCGGATAGAACAGCGTCGAAAGCGTCGAAGATCCGATTTCACGGAGACATGCTGCGACCTTGGGTTCACGGTCCTCGAAAAACATACTGATTGCTTTGGGAAGCTCGTACTTTGGCCTACGCTTTCTCCGGTTCGTTTTGCCTGGTGTCGGTCAACAGTCGCGCGAGAAGCTGATTGAAAATCGCGGATCCGACAAGTCACGATGAACTTTCCGAGAGAGCGGAGGAACTCGAACAACGATTATTTACTGACACTGACCGTCGAGACGTTATATAAAAGCCTGGCTGGTTTCTCCGGCGCCAGTGAAAGTGGATGCAAATATCGCCGATGCAACGGGAGAAATGGCAAATAGCTCGGAGCCTTTCCGATCGGAAACGTTCGAGCGGCGTCGAGGGCAGAGTTTCGGGAAATCGTTCGCGGAGCTCGTTCTTGGCCGGTTTCTTTCTCTCGCGACACGGTGCACGAGCGGCGGCATTTGCGAGCGTGGCGGAACCACCTGTTGGATCGCTTTCTTCGGGTGCATCGAGCTGAAATTACGACTCGCGCACGTCCATCGGCTTAGTCTGTATTTTTCTTTTCTTTCTTTTTTTTTACGTGCGATACGTGGTTGCACAACGGAATCGAACTCTGAATGGAGAACCGCGGGAAGCCGCGATTTTCTCGCTCGCGGCTTTGAGAAAGTTACGAAAGTGTTTCGTGAAGCAATTTCTATATCCAGCTCTACGTTGGGCACGGCAAAATTGAAAATATGCAATTTCAATTGGCGGGGGGATTAAATGAAATTATGAATGCCAAGATATTATTCTCCGTTGATTAAAATTATTGCAGCGAACTTTCTGTTCGGTTTTCATTTGTTGCAATTTACATAGAAGTATGGCAATTTTTTATATCGCGTTATCATATAATTACTCAACTTCTATTTTATAATTTAAATTGGCGAGGGGATTAAATGAAATTATGAATGCCAAGATATTATTCTCCGTTGATTAAAATTATTGCAGCGAACTTTCTGTTCGGTTTTCATTTGTTGCAATTTACATAGAAGTATGGCAATTTTTTATATCGCGTTATCATATAATTACTCAACTTCTATTTTATAATTTAAATTGGCGAGGGGATTAAATGAAATTATGAATGCCAAGATATTCTCCATTGATTAAAATTGTTGCAACGAGCTTTCTGTTCGGACACAGAAAAAAATGGCAATTTTTTTATATCACATTACCATATAACTTCTCAGCTTCTATTTCATTAAATCGCTTCGACTTCGGAGAATATTTTCCGACGTTAGGGTGTCAACGACCATCTGCTCACCTGGTCGGTTCGTCGAAGAACATTATGGGCGGGTTGTTGACTAATTCAAGAGCGATGGAGAGCCTCTTCTTCTGGCCACCGCTGAGGTTCGAGGTCATCGTGAGAGCATGCTCCGAGAGACCTAGAGTCTCAAGGATCTCCTGGATCTAAGAACAAAGTGTCGAAAACATTCTGTTAGTCACGGTTTCTCCATTTAGTTCGAACCTCGGCCGTGAGGCTTGTTGTCCGCCGGACCAGACAAGAAACTTAATGCGAACTTACCACTTCCTCTTTCTCCGCTTTGCTCACATTCGCGCCGAGTTTAAGGTTCGAGGCGACCTTCATGGCCTCGGCCACCGTTAGGTTAGCGTGTAGCTGATTGTCCTGCATGATGTAGCACGAGAGCTTTCTGAAGGCACTAAGGTTCCTCTCGTGGCCGTTCATCGTGATGCTGCCCTCCACTCCGCTCCATCTAGATCAATCGTTGTTCCTTAGTTTCGCCAAAAATTAACCCCGCGTTTTATTTCGTTGCACCCCGACGAGTCTGACCCGCGACGGAAATTTTTACTCGATTACTTTCTTTTGAACTGTAATCACGGCGGAACTTGTTGTGCATTAATATAAATCATTCGATAGATCGTGGATTGTGGTAGTTTTTGAACAATTTTTTAAGTTCGCAACTGTTGGTTTTTGGAAAGAATCTAGTGAAAGAAAGCGGTCTTCTAGAGAAGCCGTTGGTTCTTTGAACTCAGGAGTCGTGTTGCAATATACAGTGACCCACAAAAGTGTCCGTACGTCTTCTGAAATGTAGTAACTTTTTTCAAACTCAGCTAAATGACTTGAATCTTTTTTAGATGATGATCTAGTCTACTAGACGATGATTGAAATGCCTTTCGTTAATTTTGCTATTACTTGGGATGACAAAAGGAAACAAGAAACTTTCGTTTTTTAAACATTTTTATGTGAGCCTAAACAATTTAAAAAATGCCTCTCGTTGACCTCGCTAGCTTATAGTTCTTTTTTTGGTCAAAAATGAGATTTTTGCCATCTTTGATTTTTTATAATTCGTAACAACATTTCTTATGGTTCATACTGAGATCTACGAGAGTTAAAAGAACGAGAGTTTTTATTTCCTTTTTTCTTGTCATTCCAATAGCGAAATTTAAAAAAAGCAGTTCGGTCATCATCTAGTAAACTAGTCTCGTTATCATCTAAAAAAAAAATTCAAGTCACTTCGAGTCCAGTTTCAAAAAAGTTGTCGCGTCTTAAAAGGTGTACGAATACTTTTGTGGGGCACTGTAGACAGAATTCTTTAAAATAATAATTTCGAAAGAATTTTATATATATTACATAGAATTAATCGAAATTCTTTGACGAATTATAGATGCGATCAATTCTTGTCCAACGTTTTAAGAAGAACTGTCGATCCACGACTTCAAATCGGCGTTAATTACAAAAACGTTATTCCATTATTCAAAGATCGGAATAAAACTCCGTTCCGCAGTCGTCGATACATAAATCATTCATAATCATTTCGCAAGATAAATGACTGATTGCCGTCGCTGTTCGTCGCCGGGCTCATTTAGAAAGTCCGGCTAGGTAAACACGTGTAGCCGAAAACTCTTGCGAAAGGATTGCGTAACGGCGATCCACGAAGAAAGCGAAATCACCGGGAAGAAAGTGAAATCGCGATCATTGTGGAGAACCGCGGTCGTTTCGAGGATCCGAGCAGCGTGAACGTCGAGAACGGGGAATATTTTTCTTACGCGCGGACATAAACGACGAGCGCGAAGTTAAGAAATTCGCCGACGCGGCATCGACGAGAGTCCGACTGTCGCATAAGCGGGACACAACTCACTTGTATCCGGTCAGGATGTTTAAAAGCGTGGACTTCCCCGCGCCGGAAGGGCCCATGATGGCCGTCAGCTCGCCGGATCGCAGCCGGCCGCTGACGGACTTCAGGATTGTCTTCACATCTGAAACATCGATTACACTTTACACGTTCGTCGATTAGGAGAAACCGCTTCGGCAGGCGAACGACCGTTTATCGTCGCTCCGAACCCCATGAACTCGACGATTATTGGCCGGAGCAACGACATAGATTGTCGCCCGAGGAAATGAGACAATGGAGGGTCCGATTGCGATTGACCTTTCGCGGATAAATATGATTTACGATTCTAGAATCGCGACCCTGGACCGCGTTGACAGCGATTAACGATTATTCTATAATTACGCTGGAATTTGATCGAGCCCGACTAGTTCCCCCTTGCATAATTAGCACCGAGCTGGATCAATTAATTGCCTATTAACAGAGCTCCGAGGATTAATCGACGAAACAACTTGTCGTCGGCTGGCATTCGCGATCGGATCGCGAAGTCGACGGAGTTCGGCGCAGGGGGACGACACGACGTCGAATGGATTCTGACCTTCTCCGGCGGCTGTATGTAATTATGCGCGACGAACCGGCGATTGCATATTCCGTCGCGCGACAAACAACGCGACGAAAATGCGCGCCGGGCGAACGGAATGAAAAATCGCGGCGAGATTCGCGGGGTTATCGCGGGGCTCGGGTTTTCGCGCGGAAACAACAGGAACAATGGCGAAACAAGCGGCGTGTCGCATCCTCGTCCGATCCGCGGGGCCACACTTTGCCCCCAGGAGCGGATATCGCGGAACCTCGATGCTTCTTCTCTTATCGCCGCGAACGGATCTCGCCGGAACGCGCAACGAAATTCTGCTAAGCTTTCGATTAACGTAGCCTATGACATTTATTAGATTATCGTGCGACCGTTCGTTGCGTAGCGTCGCGCTGTTCCAGCAATATAATTGATAATTCGACGTTGTTGTTGCGTCACGCGTGCTACGCGTCGAACGTTGCGTGATCGTCGAACTGATTTTTTTTTTGTGGTCGCGAACGAGGCCGATTTGGACGCCGGAAACGCCGCAGTTCGGCGAAAAGTGCCTTGACGATGTAAATGCCGGGTCCAACGGAAACATCTGTCCGGTTGCTGATTACCCGTTTTTATTACCGAAGGACATAAGCAAGAAAAATATAGCCAGTTCGGCTTGCCTCGCGGGAAATTTTCCAAGCAAGCAAAGGTGCAAAGTTGCATTCGTAGATGCATTATTAGATGCTAAATCTTAATGGTGCTGAACTCCGACGATGCTGGATCCTAAAAAAGCTAGACCCTAAAGCCAAGAAAGCGTTGCTTCGCGCGAAATTTCGGTCTGAGAATTAGGATTTCATTGACAGAAGAAGCTAAATTAATTGTAAAAGACAAAAAAAATTGTCTGAATTAATTGTAAAGGACATGAATTGGATGATAATGTCCTTCCTCTTGTAGTAATTCTGATGAGTTAAAAATATTCTAGCAATATCCTCAAATTCTTCCAATGTTTCTTGTGTCTTTCACTCAACCTATTCGTTTTTTTTCTGTGGTCTGGTGACTGCAGTTTGTCGCTAAATCGGCGCGATCAGAGCCTGTGCACCGTGACCTGCATCGGTGGCCTCTCGGACGCGAAGACTGTCCCGGTCCTTCTGCATAAAGTGTCCTAAATGGTCGCGGCGTTCTCGATTCGAACCGAGCGACAGTTCGTGGCCCGATTGCTATGACACGGAGCCCAAGTCAAGCAAGTCGACCAGGACATTCCAGCGGGCCCCAATCGTTATAATTGCCGCGATTCCGCGCGTGAAACGCCCCGGCCGGGCCTTCGAAATTCAATTCACGCCGATCTCTCGAAACAGCCGGCGCGAACTCTGTCGCGAATGTGAAAGGAAATGAGGTGCGTGAACTCTCCGTCTCCGTTAACTAGGACACGAAATAAGTCAGCGTCGCGCGTCGTTTCCGGCCGAACACAGTCGGACAACGCGGTGATAATTTTATCTTTTCGCGGCATTTTACGCATATGGCTGATTGCGGTGAAATTAATAGGCTAACGTTGTCGTAAACACGAGTTCGATCGCGACGATGTTAAAAGTTGCATTGCGGGAAATTCTGCGGACTGGCGGTCTTGAAATGTCTCGGAAAATGGTGGAAGACAGCGATCTTCAAGAAAAGTATCGGCTTTTTAACGTAGAAAAAAATGTTGCGATACTGTTGAATTATAGAAAATTCTTTAAGCAAACGATTTCAATTAAATGTCTCGAAAAATGATGGAAGACAATTAAGTTAATTAAATCTTCAACGCAGAGAAGAAGTGATCAAAAACAATCGAGAATCACAAAATATCCTTCAAACTGGCAATTTCAACGAGATACCTCAAAAACTGATGGACAAAAACGACAATCAAGAAAACCATCGTTTCCTTAACACAGAAGAAGTGTTGAACGCGATTGAACCGCAAAAAACTGTTCAAACTGACAATTTCAAGAAAAAGAAAAACTGCTGGAAAAGAACGATCCTCAAATAAATCCATCAAGTCTTGACCCCCATAAGAGGTCTTGCAGCATAGTCGAACGGCAGAAAATCCTATCAGCCGGCGATGTCAACAAAAGGACTGCGAAAAAGTTTGAACAAAACGTTCCTCAAGAAATCCATTATTCCTCGAGCACAGAAGAAACGTCGAACGACTCGGAATCGGACAGGAAGGAAAAACTTTGTTCCCGAAAGAAAGCTCTTAGCCGGATGATCTCGGGAAAAGTCTGATCTCTCGGGATCTGGGTCCGAGGAAGAACAACGGCCCTCCGCGAAAGCTGCCGGTTATTTAGACGCGATGCAAGCGTCGACGAGTGATAGGGCAGCAAAGTGTGGGGAGGAAAAGTTAGCTGGTCGTAAAGAGTCGCGGCAGTGAAGCTTCTATCGCGATGATTTATCAGCGACGTCCTACGACTGCAGTCCGAAGAACTGGAAAGCGCGTTGATCGGCTCGCACGCGTCCGTATTCCGCGGGATCAGTGAACCTTCGGCAGAAGAAAACCTTCGAGCACCGAAATCTCATTGCCAGTTGCGTTATCGAGCGGATCTTCGAGCCGCCTGCGGCGATTTCTGGAGTTTCTCGCGTCGAACACGCTCGAACGAGACGTAGAATCTTTTATCGTCGGAGCGCGTCGTCCGTGTTAGCCCGCGCGATAAGCGAGAACAAAGCTCGGCCTTTTCGAATAATCTGTTCTTTTCTTAAACGCGGTGCCGGCTGCGTTGATTCGGCTTCGAGATCGCGGCGTTTCCATTCGGGTTCTTTGGAAATCGCCGCGGCCTGCGCCGCAACCGGTCTTACAAAATCTCGGTCAGTAATTTCCACTCGCTGAAGCGGGCTCGTCTACGCTCCAGAAACCGCGCGTAGAAAGTTCAGCTCCCTTCGACGAGACAGGCCCTGCTAACGAGCCGGCGTTAATCGCGGGCAAATTAGTTTCTCCTAGCGGCCGGATTTTTGCGCTTCGACGGGCCCCCTTTGTCTCGTTATACGCGACAGCTGCTGCCCCGATAAGAGTCCGCCGAGTATCGCCGACGCACCCGCTGCAACAACGCGCGTCCCTCTTTCCTGCGGATGCCATTTACTTTCACTTTGTGGTCAATGTCATCGGAAACCAGCCTCCGTCGAGCGACGAGATACGGGGACCGTAAGATCCGACGCGATCCCACCGAAACAATGCTCGAAAATCGCGCGGCTGTTAGCTCGAGCAATTTTTCGAAGAAACGTCGCGATGCAGAAAAATTCATTAAGCGGACGATCTACGAGATGACGATTGCTATTTTAGCACAGTTGAAGAATCGCGATACAATTGTACTGCAGAAAATTCTTTGAGCGGACGATTTTAGACAAACGTCTACGAAACTGATGGTAAAAAGCGGCCTTCCAGAAAATCGTTGGTTCTTCGAACGAGAAAAAATATTGCAAAATGAAGTTAGGGTTCTAGAGGTGCTCCGAACTCTAAAGAGCACGTTAAACACCTTGAATTATCCGAGAGGAACCAGATTATACAGCAAATTTAACAGTGAAACCTAATAACGCGGAAACTGTCGCTAATAAACCATCGGTTGCTGCAACGTTATACCAAAAAGAAAAGAAAATGACAGCGTTGTAATGTACCTGAACCAGAAAAAAATTCGTCGAGCGAACAATTCCAACATCTCAGAAACGGTCCACGAAAAAGCCGTTGCTTTCTTAACACGGAAGACGTGCTCCGAAACAATTGACCCACAAAATGTTCTCCAACTGCGCGACTCTTGATCGAATATCTTAGGAACAAAATGGAAAAAAAAGCGGTCTTAAGGAAGACGATTAGTTCGAAAATCGCGCGGCTAAGAGCTCGATCAATTTCCAGAGCATCTGCCATCTGCTTTCGTTGGAATGACGGCGTTGATCAGGGTTACCGCGGCGAAGGATCCGTTTCGAGGACGCGAAAGTGTTGCTCGGACTGATTAATAATTCTTTTCTAACTTCCACGACCTGGTTCTGTGGAACGGTTTGCCCACGAATCTAGGACTACGTTGGCCCGATCACGCGTTGCGATGAAAACAAGCCCGCCGGATCTCGATCGTCCTGCGCAACGCGTTTCAAGTTTTGTTTACCCGACGAAGACTCGTAAAACGAACACCGTGGCCCGAGCAAACGATAATTCTCTATAGCCAGGGAATAAAGTCGAATTCGTACGTTATATACTCACTGCTTTTGTGTCCCTCTCGCACCGAGTAGACCAGGTCCGTGAACGCCAGGTCGACCGGCGGCCTCTTCGGCAAATGGGTGATCGTCTTCGGCTGCGTCGGGACGATTTGCAGCCGGGTCCCCGAGCCCTTTCTGGGCTGCAGCAGGATCTCGTTGGTGTTATCCTCGTGCGAGCAACCGCCTTCGAGCTTCATCTTCGATCGCTCCGTAACAGTTTCCGCGCGAACTTGATCCTGACGGCGGTTCAACAGCGAGCCCCGTGCTCTACACGCTCCGTACCACGCTAGTTCGTTCTGGCTTGTGCAAACTCCGGTATTCCCGTTTCAATCATCGCCTGGAAAAATCGTAGCGCATTCGTCAGACCTCCTCCGCTATCGGCCGCCGCGACTCGTTATCGACCGCGATTACGCGTCGACGCAGCGACTCGGCATCGGTTCTCCGGTTGTCGAGGTTTCTCCGGGGAAAAAAGCGAACGGGAGAAAAACCGCGGACGATCTCCGCCGAGATTCGGAAACCGTCTCGATCAGCTGTGTCGTCGGAACGTCGCCGCGGACGCGCGTTTCGAACACAGTTCGCCATCCGCGTAATCTCCGCGGCCCCACCTCCTTTCCTCCCATTTCACTCGCTCGCTATCTACGGCAGTGCCCCGGGCAACTAGAACCCCGTTTTTCCTCGTCTCCGACGCGGAGAAGTGCTGTTGACAGCGGACGAATGTGAGGCCAACCGAAGCGTAAGTCTTGGTTGCCTCGGAAGCCAGCGATAAACCGCGACCGAGCCGCCGCGGTTCGCGCGAACAGTTTCAAACTCGAGAACGGCCTTCGCGAGAGCGGATTCGCGAATCGCACGGTTTCCGAGATAACCGAGTACACTTGTGCACACTGCTGGACGGTTTTCGCTCCGATCGATCCTACGGGGACGACATATTGGAGGCCTGATTCGATCGCGCGCACAACAAACGATCGAGGACGCGTCGTCGTCGATCTTTCCCGTCGTTCGAGCCTTCGACTATCTAGAAAGATGTTCGGAGAACTTTAATGAATCCGCGGCGGCGAAAGGCGCGCTGCGGCTAACGGGGCACTGCCGTGAAAAGAGGGACAAGTGTCCGTAATGCGAATAAAGAACGCCGGGGTCTCTCTCTCTCTTACATCGTTGCGAAGCGGCGATGCTTTGGTAACGTCGAGCGAGAAACTGGAACTGCGCAGACGTCGAGCGAAATCCTCGTGGCCGAAACTCGCGGCTCTCCGATCGACGGTGATCGATGCGCGGCCGTATCGATCGTTTCGCAATGTATCGCGCCCGATAACGAGAACGCGGGGCGACGGGATTCCTCGTGGACGGTCGACCGATCGGCGAGCCTCGATGCTCGTTCCTCGGTGTCTCGAGACTGACTAACTGACTGACTACCGACTACCATTTAGCTGCACCGCGGCCATCACCATTGACCGTCGCTGCTTTCCAGAGCGCTCTCTCTCTCTCTCTCTCTCTCTCTTTTTCTCTCTTTTTCTTCTCTATCTGGCATCTCTTCGCCTTCCTTCTATCGCGGCCTCCCCCCCGTCTCCCTCGTGAATCGTCATCGCGACAAAGAGAAGCGATCGGCAGAGAATGAGAATGAACGGCAGCTGTTTAATTCGCTCCGATCGATCCTTCGGATTCAAGAGAATAAACACCGCCGGGATAAACGCTATCGCGCGATTTCGTAAAATTATTAACAATAAAGTTGTCGCGCCGGTTGCAATCGCCTTCGCGATCGGTCTCTTGCGAATCTTGTTTACGAATCGCGGAAATTACGTGATTTTACTCGAAGCTTGTATTATGTTAAAAAAACGGTAGCGTCATTGCTGTGACGCGTGTCAAGTATATTTTTAACTCGCGCTGTTGCTTGTGCTGTTAAACAGTTGTCTTGTCGCGACAACAGAGAGCGATTGAAAAATCGGTGACCGGAGTACAGTCTCGATTGCGACCGGTGTAATTGCGGCGACGGAAATAAAACGGAAAAAGAATATCGTCGAAACGGCGCGGCGGTAGCGGTTACACCCGTCGATGATCGTTCTTTTTTTTATTTCGCTCGCAATTTGTTATTTAGTTTCGTTTCGATTCAGCCTAATATCGTCCAACGAGGACGTCGTTTGCTGGCCCCCGTTGTTAACCAATGATCATTAAAGGCGCGGCAAAGTGAGCAATTTCTCTAATGCCACGTCCCTTTCTAGAGGAGCGCGCGTGTAGGGTCGCGACGCTCGTTTAATGATGATCAGCATCGATTCTATCGCGATCGCGATAAAGCGGCCGATGAACACCGATCGTGATAAAAACTCGTCGCTGACGAATTAACGCTGGATCGGACAATCGTTCTGTCCCGCAGTGCTCGGGCATTTCGGGGATCTCCGAGAAACACGGGGTGAATAGTTACTTCGAGAAATTTTTTCGATGCGCAGTAAATTCTCACGAATTTTACTTTAAATTAATAAAAATGGACAATTTGGGAAGAGGAGATACGATTATTCGAGACTCGCGGCTCGGTTTTATAATTGCTGATTGTCAAGAATTATAAAAACGAGGCGCAAGGCTCGAATGATCGTATCTTCTCTTCCTAAATTGTTCATTTTTGTTTATTAATGATAATAAAACGTAAATTTTACAGTGTTACTGATATCTAAAGGAAAACTTAACAGAACACCATATATGTACATCTCTATTTGATATTATCTCTAATATATAGAAACATACACACTGGTTGCTTTCTCGATTTTTCTCTTTAAATAAGTGCTTTAATAAGTAAATAAGTGTTTTAATAAGTGCTGTGAATAATTAGGAACTCAAAGTAACTTTAACATTTTCACCGAGACTTCAAAAAACAGGACAAATCTATATTCGCGTATTTTTATTTTCTATTATTTCCAATGAAAGAGTAGAAATATACAAATACGATATTTTTGCTAAGTTGTGTTGTTTAACGCTAGATTTACGGAACCCGTCAAAATGACGGATCATTAAGTTTTCAATTTACGATTATTCATATACATCAAGATACATTCATGAGTTATTTATTCAATTTATACGTCACTTACAATAACGCTTGTTAAAAATCGTCTATATAAACGTCTTATTGTTACCTTTATAAACTAACATAAAACAGCTGTTTTTTCTGCTCCGTAAATCTAGTGTTAAATATCGCTAAAAATGTAACANGGCGCGGCAAAGTGAGCAATTTCTCTAATGCCACGTCCCTTTCTAGAGGAGCGCGCGTGTAGGGTCGCGACGCTCGTTTAATGATGATCAGCATCGATTCTATCGCGATCGCGATAAAGCGGCCGATGAACACCGATCGTGATAAAAACTCGTCGCTGACGAATTAACGCTGGATCGGACAATCGTTCTGTCCCGCAGTGCTCGGGCATTTCGGGGATCTCCGAGAAACACGGGGTGAATAGTTACTTCGAGAAATTTTTTCGATGCGCAGTAAATTCTCACGAATTTTACTTTAAATTAATAAAAATGGACAATTTGGGAAGAGGAGATACGATTATTCGAGACTCGCGGCTCGGTTTTATAATTGCTGATTGTCAAGAATTATAAAAACGAGGCGCAAGGCTCGAATGATCGTATCTTCTCTTCCTAAATTGTTCATTTTTGTTTATTAATGATAATAAAACGTAAATTTTACAGTGTTACTGATATCTAAAGGAAAACTTAACAGAACACCATATATGTACATCTCTATTTGATATTATCTCTAATATATAGAAACATACACACTGGTTGCTTTCTCGATTTTTCTCTTTAAATAAGTGCTTTAATAAGTAAATAAGTGTTTTAATAAGTGCTGTGAATAATTAGGAACTCAAAGTAACTTTAACATTTTCACCGAGACTTCAAAAAACAGGACAAATCTATATTCGCGTATTTTTATTTTCTATTATTTCCAATGAAAGAGTAGAAATATACAAATACGATATTTTTGCTAAGTTGTGTTGTTTAACGCTAGATTTACGGAACCCGTCAAAATGACGGATCATTAAGTTTTCAATTTACGATTATTCATATACATCAAGATACATTCATGAGTTATTTATTCAATTTATACGTCACTTACAATAACGCTTGTTAAAAATCGTCTATATAAACGTCTTATTGTTACCTTTATAAACTAACATAAAACAGCTGTTTTTTCTGCTCCGTAAATCTAGTGTTAAATATCGCTAAAAATGTAACAATTACTTGAGCCCATAATTATTCACACCACCATAGCTGCGATAATTCGTGCCCTTCAAACGTGCCTCACGATTTCACCATTCAAAGGGCAAAGAGAGAGGGGGGAGTAAAGAGTCGTGGATCCAGTCGACCTTGATCGCAAACGAATCCAAGATCGTACGCGAAGATACGATACAACGCGCGACACCCAGCGACACCTCCATAGACCGGGAAAAAATAGCATTGTCATTGCGCTCATTAAAAATTCTACGACGATCTAATTACAGGAAATATTACGTGGACGGACTGTTCGAGGAAAAAATGACTAGCGAATAACGATGATTCTAAACTCGGCGTAAACACTGGTTGCTTTTTGCCGCGTGGCTCTGCTCTAATTGGGAGCAACGGAGCCACGCCCGTTTGCGGATCATCTTCGAACATTATAACTGTAATTGTGTTTAGTAATTTTTTTAGCAAAGCAAAATAGCGTCTTTCACGCTGTAACTGCTAAACACGTCGAAATGACCGGTTTCTTTGTTCGAGCATCTATTATAATATAAGAAATCGTGCGAAGTTCAAACGAATCCGATTTTGCCGCTTTTATAAAACAGAATGAATTAGTCACGTTTAGAGCACGGCACTTAGGGCAGAAGTTAGATCCATAAAAGATGCACAGTTTATAGCGTGAATTTACGCAAAGATTGCCCATTCAAGCACTACAATGGCTTCGTTTAAATTCGGAGCAAGAAACGCAAGCTCGTTCAAAGCACTCGTACGAGATCCTCGCGAAATATTAGACCTTTATTTATAATTTTTATTATGAATGAAGTCATTGTCTCTTCGAGGCCACGTTCCTATAAAGCTGCATCTAAGGCTGAATTCGATTAAAGATCGCCTTTCGTACTGCGACGGCTTCGTTTAAATCGAGAGCGAAGAAACCAGGGCCACCCAGAGCATCGCGAAAGAAGAAAGCAAATAAAACCGATCGAGACAAAGAGAAAAATTCCGCGGGAATTCCTCTTCGAATTGTTTCGAGACGCAGATCCTGGATCGGATAGGAGACCGCCCTTGTCCCGGGGACGTTGCAAAGGGACCCGCGAGACCCGCGGCCGGGCCCATTTCTCGCCGCGAATCCCCCGTTAGCGT